CCCCAAAACCCCAAAACCCCAAAACCCCAAAACCCCTAAAACTTAATAAATTATTGAAATGAACAAGGTATAGTCATTTCTAAGACTTCTTTACTTAGTCTCAAAAATGTCATAGTTCTTCTATTTAGACCAAAAAATTGATCGTGAAGGATCAAAGCAAATCTAGGAGTACTTTCCATCCTCATTCTAGATAAAGGACAATATGTATTACATTCCATAAATGTTCAACTTGAGCGATCGATGGGTTGAAGGTTTATTAAGATCTTAGAGAAGCCAGATCTAGATACTCTAGAGAGTAACTCTATATACAGCTCATCAAGTAAGAACTTACACTTCTCACTGAATAATGTCTACTCACAGAAAATCACAAAGACAGCCATCAGATTATGTTACTTAAGCAGAAGATTAAGGATAGTTTAAGGAGCCGAGAAAATGATAGCGAAAAGCTCCTCCCGAACCAAGGGCTGAATAGGTCATTGGAACTGATAAATTTTAATTCCTTATCGCCTGCTTATGTTCCTAAGAGTGCTGACTGAATGGACCTTCCGAACAATTTTCGAGAAAAAGGCCATAGCTTATGCTATTCCCAAAACCTGGGTCGCAGACAGGTACTTTTTTGGAGTTAATTAGAGAACTACGCGGTCTAAGCTTGGTTTTAGACTAATATACAATGATTTATGGTATTTTTAGATGATACAGAAACAACAATTACCTCTAGTAGAGAAAACTTTGGATAAAAATCAAGACCTGAAGACGGATAAAAAGTTATTAAATATCATAATCAAGGATCCAATGAAGCTTGAAGACGATAAAATTGGACAAGATAGTATGAGCTATAGGTAATTTTTACACAGATTATGGAATAAATCTGCTTCAATAAACCTCAAAATAATCTCAAACACCTTATTTTCTAACTCTCTGAGCATACTAGCTCTCTTTCACTGCTGATAACCCAAGTGTAGGTAACGAAGGATCATTTGCAACATCAAGGTTTTGCAGATTGAGCTCTCCTTCAGATATAATAAAGGTTACATCTTACTTGAAAAGCCCCTATTTGACTGCTCGGGGGAGAAATGGGAAAGGAAAGTTGCTCAAAAACACCTTTAAGCTGCTCAAATCTAGCTCTGTGGAGAGGCCTAAGTGGCAGGGGAAGGAAACTAGCAAATTACGGAGTTTGGTCAGCACAGTTGGGATTGAATTAGGGATGACTGATAAAGAATGGAAGAGTGGAGGAAAGAGGTCTGTTAGAAAAGGTAATAAGCGGATATGAGGGATGGGGTAGAGAATGAAGAGAAGGGGTGAAGAGAGTGTTCTGGTTTTTGGATTTTGGAAATTTGAGGTGTTTGAAGTGAATTTAGGAATGAGAGAGTTGACTCAAATTAAGGATGTGAAGAAAGATGATAGGAATAACTCAAAAGAAGAGATTAAAGTGGATTGTATGAGAATTTCATTAAATTCTCACACAAAGAATACCATAAAGAATTCTCAGAAAGGAAGAAAGACATACTTCGGGTTTCCAGGCAAAAAATTATCAGGCTTCAGGCACAAGAGTCATAAATTTTCAAATGATTACATCCACGTAAAGATCAGGAAACAAACTCAATAACCTATATTCCATTAAAAACATGCCTATTGGGGTTTTGGGGTTTTGGGGTTTTGGGGTTTTGGGG